CCAGTACCACTGCAGTGGCCAGGAGCACAACACCATTCCAAATCAGCCGATGTATGTAATGGTGTCGACGCTTCAGCTTTTCTTGAAGTAGCAAAATGCAACAGTGTATGATGCTTTCCTCCACAAGTGCGACAATGACTTCCCTTCCCTTCCTTAGGGCCAGTTTCTTGACTTTCTTATGCCGAAGGGATGGAGAATTTCCGAATTTACTACATGTGTAGATCCCGTGACCAGATGCATCACAAAAACTGCACCCATTTTGGTTAGTCTCAGCTACAAGCACTCTTTTGCTGTGGTTAGTGCTATGGTTGGATTTGAACATCTGATAATTGGTTATATGGGATGACATGGCATGTTGCACGCCCTCCAGCCTTTGACTACGCCTTTCCAGAAATGTGAAGAACTCATCGGCAGTCGTGATTATGTCAATACACTTGGCTCGCTCGAACAATGCAACCGCCTTGCGCTTAAGAAAAGACACCCTGTTTGCCTGCATATCATCTGTGTTCTCGCCTTGCATCATTTTTATACCCTTGCAGAGGGTATTATAATTTTGTCGTGAAATATGTAATGCATAGAAGGAGACATCTCCGACCCCATAAAGTATATATATTCTTGATCAGCATCAACAGCCGAGTCGATAAAGCCATGTCCGTCTGTCCGTCGGTCTGTTTTTATGCGAACTAGGCTCTCAGTTTTAAAGCTATCTTAATGAAACTTTGCAGAAGTCCCTCTTTCTGTTGCACGCAGCACATATGTGAAAACCAGATTGATCGGACTACTATATCATATAGCCGCATATCATAGCTGCCAACGATCGGTCGAAAATTAAGTTTTTGTATGAAAAAACATTTTGTTTATCAAGATATCTTGACCAAACTTGGCAATCATTAGTTTTACTAAGGTCCTCATATATATGCAAAATTCTATTAAGATCGGACCACTATATCATATAGCTGCCATAGGAACGATCGGTCAAGAATTAAGTTTTTGTATGAAAAAAACATTTTGTTTATAAAGATATCTTGACCAAACTTGGCAATTATAAGTTTTACTATGCTCCTCATATACATGCAAAATCCTTTTAAGATCGGACCACTATATCATATATCTACCATAGGAACGATCGGACGAAAATAAAGTTTTTGCATGAAAAAACATTTTGTTTATCAAGATATCTTGACCAAACTCGGCATTTATTGGTCTTGCTATGCTCTTCATATAAATTCAAAATCCTATTAAGATCGGTACACTATATCATATACCAGCCATAGGAACGATCGGCCAAAAATTAAGTTCTTGTAGGAAAAAACGTATTTTTTTTCAAGATATCTTGAGCAAACTCGGTATTACAAGAGTATGTATATAAGCTGAGTCGGCGAATCACCGCGCAAGGGGAAGAGCGCGAAAGTCAACAAGCGGCGTTTATGTAATTGCGAATATTTGGGAGCTGTAAATTGTCAGCTCACACAGGCGGCTTGCACTTGCTTAATTATAACAATTTGCGATGATTATGTTTTACTTGAATAATCACAATTTTAATTTTGCAATAGATTTATTTTGCTTATGTGGACTTCAATGTTGGATCACAACAACACGTTATAATTCAGTTTATTCGGCGAATTTATCAGAAAACGAACGACTGCACAAGACAAAAAGGAATATGCAATATTATATAAGCTGCGACAAGTGCAAGAGAGGCTTGGCAGCCTTGTTTATAATAAACAGCTGTTTGACTAAACTAAGATTACGACCTCTTCTTATTTTTACATGAGTGTTTACTTATGCTGATTTGATGCGGCTGCTCTAGAATCCAACAAATATGCCACGCCCCTAAACACCTCCTTGTCCCTGCTCGGGCGCCACTTGTAAGGAAGCTACCGGAAGCTACTCAATTTACCAGGACCAGTAATCTGCAAGACATTTGTTAGTTTACTGGGATGTTGGGCTTAGAGGGGGAGGAGGTGCTTCCAATAAACTATGACTCCAACCATTTCATAGGGTAAAGAGGGAAATGCGTACGCATGGCCGAGATTGCTCACACGGCCCTGAAATGCTTACACGGCCCTGAATGCGAAATATGCAAGACAGCCAAAACGGAACATTGAAATACTAAACTCTCTCTTCAAACGGCTCCAGAAACGTTCAACCCCCGAGAGAAATACGTCATTGATTTTTATATGATTGAAAATAAACAGTTTCTATATTGAATAGACATTTACTCCTAATACGCAGCATTAATAGAAATAAACGGCAGAGATTGGCTCGAAACAAAACGAAAATCATCCAAATTTTCAACCAAGTGGGCAAACCAATAGAACTCAAAGCAGATAAAGATTCAGCATTCATGTGCACGGCACTCCAATTATGGCTACAGTCTAAAAGGGTCCAAATAACTATAACTACTAGCAAAAATGGAATCTCTAATATTGAGAGATTTCACAAAACAGTTAACGAGAAGTTTAAAATAATTAACAGTGAATCCGATCCGGAAAATAAATTAACAAAATTTGAAACGATACTTTATACGTATAATTATAAGACAAAACATAATACAACTGGTAAAACACCAGCCGATATCTTCATATATGCCAGAGCCCCCGCATATAATACTCAAGAAAATAAACTCCAAAAATAAACGCCAAGAGTTTGAAATAGACTAGATTTAAAGAATCACCCCTAGTAAGATCTAAAACTGAAACCCCATTCAAGAAAACGGGAAACCTCAAACAAATAGACGATAAGCATTACGAAGAAACTAATAGAGGTCGAAAAATCACACCTTACAAATCCAAATTTAAGAAGAACGAGAAAGAAAGGCTATCTTCGGCACGCCGAAGATCTTATACCCTTGCAGCCCCAACCTTTTCATGATGCTTATAGTGCTTTGCCCGTATCTAAGAAGCACAGGGAATATAGTTAATACCGAGTTTGGTCAGGATATCTTGAAAAAAAAAATGTTTTTTCCTACAAAAACTTAATTTTCGTTCCTATGGCTGCTATATGATATAGTGTACCGATCTTAATAGGATTTTGCATTTATATGAAGAGCATAGCAAAACCAATAAATGCCGAGTTTGGTCAAGATATCTTGACAGACAAAATATTTTTTCATACAAAAACTTAATTTTCGACGGATCGTTCCTATGGCAGCTATATGATATAGTGTTCCGATCTTAATATGATTTTACCTATATATGAGGAGTATAGTAATACTAATAAATGCCGTGCTTAATCAGAATATCTTGAATGACAAAAAAGTTTTCCATACAGCAACTTAATTTTCGACCGAGCGTTCCTATGGCAGCTACATGATTTAGTGGTCCGAGCTTAATATGATTTTGCCTATATATGAGTAGTTTAGTAATACTAATAAATGCCGATTTTGGTCAAGATATCTTGAAAAACAAAATGTTTTTTCATACAACAACATAATTTTAGACCGATCGTTCCTATGATAGCTATATGATATAGTGGTCCGATCTTAATAGGATTTTGCATATATGTGAGGAGCTTAGTAGAACTAATAATTGCCGAGTTTGGTCAAGATATCTTGAAAAACAAAATGTTTTTTCATACAAAAACTTAATTTTCGACCGATCGTTCCTATGGCAGCTATATGATATAGTGTACCGATCTTAATAGGATTTAGCATTTATATAAAAAGCATAGTAATACTAATAAATGCCTATTTTGGTCAAGATATCTTGAAAAACAAAATGTTTTTTCATACAATTTAATTTTCGACCGATGGTTCCTATGGTAGCTATATGATATAGTGGTCCGATCTTAATAGGATTTCGCATATATGTGAGGAGCTTAGTAAAACTAATAATTGCCGAGTTTGGTCGAGATATCTTGAAAAACAAAATGTTTTTTCATTCAAAGACTTCACACCAGCTGTGTGAATGGCATTCGCACAAATACGGTTCCTAATAAGTGTCTTTCACACATACCCGCCAAATAGTAACGGCCGAAACTATTTTATATCGATAATGCACTGTTTTTGATAAAATAATCGCGAAACACTGAAATTTATTTATTTTCAATCTCTTGGAACCAACTAAATAGTTTATTTGATTAAAAATCGTTGTTAAATCACTAAAAATCGCAAAAGTCTGCAGTGTGATGGCAATCGCAGGCTACAGACTGAATCGATTGCTTCTTCTTCTGAACACATTTCAAAAGTGAGTGTTGGGAAATTCTCACTCTCTTACCATCACAATTATGTGTACATATGAGGTTACGAGTTACCAGAGGGGAACCTAGTCCAGAGTTAAAGGTGACTTCCTTAGTGCCTTGTAGCGTTACCTCTGATTATGAAGAGTTTCCTCCAGCTTAAGTTATTTATTAAGTCAAGAATTTAATGATGCGAAATAAAAAGATTACAACCGCTTTGTGTTGAAGTTCAAACCAAACTGAATATTCGTTATTAACAAAAGTATGAATATATCTTTAATGTCTACAAGCTGCCTAGCCGTTCGTCGATGGTGTCCCATTTCTATATGTGTCGCAACATCAACATCCTGTCTATTGCTGATGTTGCGTTTTTGGGTTGATGTAGCAACATAGTGCTACATAGTGCTACAACATAGGCCGTCATTTGGGCCATTGACCCAAAAAAAATGCAGCTGTGCAGATGGCAGCAACGGTGCCCGCCTCGCCAATGTATGCGTGTGCCGAAATTCGGCATCGATGATGTTGCTGCCCAAATGTAAAGGGAGTTCGATTTGATCAGCGGTTAACGGCGGGCGTACCAGCTCGAAGTGAGCATAAAATTTGCATATTGCATATCGGTTGAAAAGATTCGCATTTTTTCCCATCTGGCAAGTTAAGCCGGCGTGTAATAATAAATAGCCTAACAGACAAATAAAAATTTTGGTTTTGTTTGTTCTTCAATTTAATAAATATACGTAAATTAAACCGCTCGAGTCAAAAAATATATGAAAAAAAAAAAACTTAAAACTTAAGTGCGACGAGACGAACCAAAAAAAAAAATTAAAATATAAAAATTAACGGCTCCGGCAACAAAGAGACCAGCTCCCGCACCAGAGAAGCGCACGAAACATACCAAAGGCCAGGATTCGGCTCAGCGGCGCACACCAGCCATATCCGCGACGCCGCCAGCCAAGCGTCGGCGCAACCCTGAAGGCGACGAGACGAGCCATCAACGACCGGACGCCAACAACGAAGAAGCGGCCACAGGCGAGACAACGCCCACATCCTCCGAGTGAGTCCGTTCCATTTTGCCCATCCGCGTTCGAGCCCTTGGCAGAGAAATGATGGAGACTCCTAACCGTACTCCCTGAAAAGGAGCAGATTTTTTTGTCGTTAAATTTAGTTTTTTTTTGTATTTATAAATTATATCTATACATACATAGGCACTTACGCCGAGCTTCAGTTTAGAGTGCGAACGGTGAGGGAAACTCCAAAGGTGATGCATGTGCGCCTGTAAAATATAAAATTTTAAAATTAACACTTGCGCGAACTATGCTCACAAACTTACCTAATTGGATTACCCATTTATATCGCCCCTTACCATCCCCAGAGAGCTCTTTAGGTAGGGTAAGGTAGAATTAAGCGATTTAATACAGATTTATATCACCTACCTGTTGCACGACTGAGTATCGTGACATACCCAGTTTTAAGTAGTTGTGTGGGCACATTGTTCCTAAATCGGCGCAACGATTGCCTCTAAATTGAATCCGTGTGTGTTTATTTTGCAGCGACTAGCAATATCTTTATAGTATTTCGTCGCCTGTTCCATTTAGTGCTGTTAAAATAAAAAAATGAATTCTGTAAGATAAGAGAAAAATTTAGGAATTAATACACTTTGTCCATAAGTATAAGTAAAATAAGAGACAAATTTAGGAATTAATACACTTTGTCCATAAGTATAAATATATGCAACATAAATACGCACCCGGGGAAGAAATGTTCACGTGCCTGAATACTAATTCATCTGAATTCTCCATTCCTCGTGCAAATTAGAAGGAAATAAAAGAAATATTAATGCCAAAAGTTATAAGGATACACAAACCATTATACGCACCTGTGAAGTTAACGAAATATCCACTTGCATGAGATTCTAAATAGCTGCAAAGATAAATGCCATAAGCGATGATTATAATTGTTATAAATTTTAAGAAAACGCAACCAATTATACTTACATATTGAAAGAAAGCATGTCCGGCTAAAGTAATATTGTTGGGGAGAGTGGGCATGATGGTCGACACGGGCTAATGTAGGCCATTTAGTGGCTAAATAGTGGGAGTTGAGTAGGTGATCGTCTCACGGTTGGGCGGGTACGCTGGGTGGATAAATAGGGTTTTTTATTAATTTGTATTGAGTGTCTCACCTTTGTTGTTTACATTTTCGTAGTTGTTACAGCTGTTTATTTTGTTCATGAGTTAGGAGTTCCGATTGTTTGACGTTATTGATTTGTGGTTCGCTTTGCATAGTGTTGTGTAAGTCTGTTTTGCTACAGACGTGTAGCTTCGTTGTTATCGATTGTGCGGACTGCGGGCCTGGGATGGGACTACACCCAGAGAAACCGATGAGCCAGCTGGCGCGGCCCACTGAGAAACAAGCAGTTCCGTAACAAGTTTGTGTAGGTTTAGGTCTTCGATGGTGTTGTTTATTTTCAAATCTTCAAAAGCTTGTATCGATAGCTGATTTGTTTCTTCATATTGCCATTTTGAATCGTCGTATAGTAAACCATTGATGTTCAGCCTACAGTTCTTGTAAGTAACCACTGCTGAACCATTGATCGTTCGAGATCTGCTGCAAAATAATGTTATTGTGATGTTGACCGTATGAAACATAAAACAAGTAAGAGGTTTTAGTCGGGAGCTCCCGACTAGGGGATACCCTGAACCCTCTTCTTCCAACATCAAATGCATATATATATTATATTTTAGAAGCTATATGTCAAGTTTGGTAACTCTAGCTCTTATTATTTACCAAAATTGCTCAAAAAACAGGATATCGATATCGATTTTTATCGATTGCCTTAAAACGGAGTAAGTTATCGATTATCGGAAACAAACTCGATCTGCGCGGGAGCTAGGAGCACCTACATCTAAAATTTCAAGTCTCGAGCTCTTATAGGTTCTGAGATCCTTGCGTTCATACATACGGACGGACGTACGGACGTACGGACGGACGGACAGACAGACGGACATGGCTAGATCGACTCGGCTATTTATGCTGATCAAGAATATATATACTTTATGGGGTCGGAGATGCTTCCTTCTGCCTGTTACATACATTTGGCTTTTGCACAAATACAATATACCCTTATACCCATTTTTAATGGGTTCAGGGTATAAATAAGCCTTTGCTCCACTTCTCGGATGGCTTCTTCTTCGCCGATATCTCTAAGATCGTACGTTGTAGGTTGCCTTTTAGGCATTGGTAATTGATCGTGTTCGTTGTCGATTCGGAGTTTTCGCAGATGTATGTTTGGTAGACTTTGGGGCATTTATTATTGAAGTATCTTTTATATAAGTTACATAATTGGGGAATATTACCATTTTCGGTTGGTTTATAGGTAATGGAACAATGTGTAAAGTTCATATTGATTTTTATCAAATTTCGGTATCTTAATATCAAAAACAAGTAAGAGGCTTTGGTCCGGAGCTCCCGAATACGGAATACCCTGAACCCTCTTATTCCAGCACCAAATAAATTAGAAAAAAAAAGTTCCCTTGGCAGGGTTCAAACTCGCAACCGACCGCATAACTTGCTGTCGACTCTGCTCAACAGCCACACCAGCAAAAAAAAATATACTTTCCCCGGTAGGGCTCGAACTCGCGACAGACCGCATCACTTGCTATGCCTCTACTCAGCAGTCACACCAATAATTAAGTACTTATGGGAAAAATTCAAACTAAAATAGCATTACTGAAAAAAGTCGCAATTACCATGCTGTTAGCAGACGCGCATGAATGTGGGTGTGTACATGTATACATAAATTCTTGAAGTATTCGCTAGCTGTCCCATCTAATTGCGCAGTTACATATAACTTTGTTTTTTTCTTAACCGATCTTTATGAAATTTTCTACAGAATATCTAATTATACCATACAATATTTGTGTAATCTCAAAAAGTCAATGGCCTTAAAATTGTGGTTTAGATTGGCTGGCAATATAAGTTGGGTTATTAACTTGATTTATAGCTCTGTGGTGCTAGCGGGAAGGTGGCGATATGTATAAAATGAAAGATACTTGATATATTTATAATATTCTATGAGCAACATATCATGTTTGGTGACTCTAGCTCTTAATATTAACCCAATTTGCTCAATAAACAGGATGTCCAACATTTGCCATTCAAATCGGCTAACACGTTGTCCATTACTCTTTGAGACGTGGCTGGGGCGTTGGTAAGCCCGAACGGCATTCGAACAAATTCAAAGTGAACACCTTGCGCAGAAAAGGCTGTTTTATCAATATATTTTGGATGCATCTCAATTTAATGGTATCCGCTAGCTAAGTCTAGGGCAGTGAAATACTTTGCCCTGCCTATTTTGTCTTAGATGTCGTTTATGTTTGGCATCGGGTTTTTGTCCTTAACTGTTTTTTCGTTTCATTTCCGGTAGTTTATTACTAGTTTCCATTTCTATTCATTGGACGCATCCATCTTTTTTGATACCAAAAAGGTTGGAGCGCTCCATTGAGAGTAGCTGTGTCTAATGGTATTCTGATCTAACAGTTTTTGTAAATGTTCTTAAATTTGTTGTCGTTATTTTATACCATACCGTCGTCCGTTGTCCTGACTCTATGTTTCACTAGATTTTAAGTTCTTTCTCTTCGCTGTTTAAGTGGTCAGTACGTATACAAGAATTGAAATCTTGGTCCTTGAAGCTAGTTTCATTATTGGGATCTACTATGAGGTTAATGTCCAACAAAAGTTCTGAGTCTCACTCGAAAGGTTATTAACTTCCATGTAACTCAAGTTATTCTTTGCAGAGTACAGTCCTCCTGATATAAATAAGTCTTTGTTAATGGTAGTTGGTTCGCAACGTGAGGTTCCGTTTTGAACGGGTAGTTGAATTACTTTCTTAGATTCTTCTTCTATAGTATGTAGGCTTGACACTATTTTATCTTCGAGTTTGATATTGATGTTGAAGGTTTTTGTTTGAAGAGAACGTTGTGGTATGTTTACGATCGCTTCTAATTGTTGTAGAATATCTATTCCAATCATACTATCGAAATATGGGTGGAATTGCAAAAGGAGTAATGAAAAAGGCAAATTAGCAAATTCTTTAAAATGTGGAAGGATCGTTTTGTTGTGTAATTCATGTACGATCAGTACGGTTTTAATCGCTAATGGCATTTGAAGTTTTGTTTGTTTTGCTTGAGATACAAGTTTAGGGCTTATGAAGGAAAAGGTTGCACCAGTGTCAATTAAAAATTTGAAAGGGCTACCAGAATCTAGGTGCAGTAAGTAAGCGTTTCTTTGATTAGATATCCTGTTTGTTCGTCGAGGCGCTTTGTTGAAAGTTTGCGTCCTCGTTATAATTATGTAATTGAGCATGTTGTTGCTCGACATTATTCATGGAGCCTTTAGGCTAGCGTCTCTCGTTATTGCTTTGATTTTTATTGCTACTATCGTTGCGTCCAATATTCTTGATTTTTTCTCGTTTTTTTCTATTTTCTTGTGAAAATCTTTCTGTTAGTGCTCATTATAGGGCCTCTCTAAGGTTGGTCGGTCTCATGGACTTAACTGTGGCTCCTAATGGGCCTCTAATTCCTGACAGAAACGAATTTAGAAATATGTCTGCAAATAAGTTTTTTAGGTTTTTATCAATAAGGGTTTAGATTCCTTTGTTTCGGTTAATCTCAACAAGGCAACTTTGATTTCACAGACTTTGTACTATAAAACGCATAGGGACGATCCCAGTTGAACTAAATTATGTAATTCATACATAAGAGTGGGCTCATCTCTTTTATCTGCACAATATGCAATAAGTGCCTCTTTAATCTCATCCCAGTTGAGGATAGCACCGGCTTCTATGATAGCCTCGTTGGCTTTTCCCTCAATCTGGTTTCTAATTGCTCTTAAGAGCCCATAAGGGGTCTGATCTCTAATAAGTAAAAGAATTTCTTCCACATAATTAAGGAACTCACTCAGTGTCTTAGGGTTACCGGCGTACAATGGTAAAAATCAGATCGCGTCTGGTATCTTTAAAGCTGAAACCGCTTCCATTTGATTTCTTAATGCCTCTCCTTGATTAGGAGAAGGCGAATTTGATATTGACGTCATTGGAGTGTTGTCGTCCGCAAGTCTAACGTCCGAAAGGCTAGAACTGATTTTTTATACCCTGAACCCATTAAAAATGGGTATAAGGGTATATTATATTTGTGCAAACTCCAAATGTATGTAACAGGCAGAAGTAAGCATCTCCGACCCCATAAAGTATATATATATCAGCATCAATAGTCGAGTCGATCTAGCCATGACCGTCTGTCTGTCCGTCCGTCCGTCCGTCCGTCGGTCGGTATGTATGAACGCAAGGACCTCAGAACCTATAAGAGCTAGAGACTTGAAATTTTAGATGTAGGTGCTCCTAATCCGATAATCGATAACTTACTCCGTTTTAGAGCAATCGATAAAAATCGATATCGATATCCTGTTTTTTTTAGAAAATTGGGTAAATAATAAGAGCCAGAGTCACCACACTTGACATATAGCTTCTAAAATATAATAGATATGCATTTGATGTTGAAAGAAGAGGGTTCAGGTTATACCCGAGTCGGGAGCTCCCGACTAGAACCTCTTACTTGTTGTGTTTTAGACTTATGTATCTAGGGTGTACAATGTGTTTCTTGTGTGTAGGTTGCTAATTACTAGTTTTCCATTAGATTGTGTTTAATATATGCATATATATACGAAGCCTGCGAAATGTGAAGGTCGCCGTGGTGGAACGTGTGTCTTATCTGTAGATTTGGTTTTGTTGGTAATATAGTCATAATTAATTTTAATTAATTTCATTATAAAAATGTGTAGTGTGCCATGGTAAAACAAATAATTACATATTTTTGTTTTTAT